GGCCTTCACAATGCAGTCGTTAGCACCCATTAAATAGAGATTCTATTTCTACTTTGTTGGTAGATTTTCTTAATGTGCGGTAAACACAAACGCATGAAGTTGGTCGCTAAAGCGACCAACTTCATGCTGTTAAAATTTTGTGTTACAGTGATGCGCGCGCATCTTAAAATATCACTCTCATCAATTTTTCATAACGCGCCTAAAGAAGTATAACTTCAAAAAACTATAAATAAATTATACATTTCATAACAAAAATATAAAATATCAACTGATAAAACTTGCAGATTATGTAAAAGATGCTTGTTGCTTGATGTGTGTATTATTAGCCTAGCCCCAAAGTAAAAGGCAAAGGCTCTGCAAAGGATTTTGTTGTGGGATACTAGAGAAACAAACAGAAATACATATACTTAGTTAAGTATATATTTGTAGAAATATATCTAAATAGCTATGATCACGTACATAATAAATATGCCCGTATACAATGATATTATATAAACAAGAAGTTTATAATATATCATTGCCCGTATACATCATACAAATGTTTGCTCCTACCGGAATTCGAACCTAGGATTTTAGAGTACGCGACACTATGTACATTACGTATGTCCACTTAGCAGTACATTCTCCAGAAGACAATATGAAAGTTGAAAATCAGCATGGTATTTTGTAAAGACATTTCAACACATTATCAGTAAATTACAACCAAAGCGAAGCTGACGCGGATCGCTAATAAAACTTGGGAATATCCGTCAGCGCAGTGGGTATGGAAAAATTGGTAAAAATGATGAAGAACTCTTATAAAAATGAATTCGAAAATATGGGTTTCATCCTCTGATATCAGTTTTTCTTAATTATCGATGGCCCGTTTTTCACTCAAGCACATACTTCTTAGCACAGCAATATTTAAAAGTACATACCACATTCAAAAGATGCAAAGTAGATATGACTTAAGGAAAAAAAAGCCTTACAACCTAGGTACCACACCCTTTATTTTACACATCATACATTGACAATTTCCATGTTCGCACCATTGCACCTCAAACAATTTTGTACCATATCCGTAAACATTGAAATTCCACTTCAAATAGTTTCGAAGGATTACCGTTAAATTTTATAAACTAAAAATATTCATATAATAGTTGGTCATGAACATTATCATTGAATTTGTCTGGCTCCACAAATATCTGTGTGAGCAGCTGCCGCTCAGCTGCGACCGACCACGTGCAGCAGTCACGACATGGAACTCTCACGAGCGGTCATCACGACTCTTGCGCACTTTAAAAAACGTCTGAGATCATAGATTAAACTGACCGCTACAGTGTACGAGTAGGACACTACTCGAATAACAAAAGCGTTCTTTTTTACGTTCGACTTCGAGATTCGTTACATTCTTTCCGAATGATGTGGTATGAAAATGTATAGCGATAAAATTTATAGATAAATGAGTTCCGGACAACTTAGAACAGATTTAAGTTTTGCAAAGCTAACGAACTTTGTAGTATGAAAAAAGCTGTTCAAAAGTATTTGGACCCAGATAATAATTAGAAGTCGGCCTAATAAAATAGCACCTTTTTAGCAAATAATTGTTCAGTATCCATAAGGTTCCTAATTGCCGTCTTTATATTCATCTCCATTTTTAACCGACTGCAAAAAAGGAGGAGGTTCTGTGTTTGACTGTATATATATTTTTTTATGTATGTTCACCGATTTGTCCGTCAATTGTGGACCGATTTCCAAAAATTTTTTTTTTATTCGAAAGAGTGCACATCCGAGGTCGTCCCATTGGAACTAAGTCAGGATCTGATGGTGGAATCCGGGGAAATCGAGAGAAACCTTCAATTTCAAAGGCACACACGATGTTTTTTTTATGCATGTTCACCGAATTCTCCGTCAATTGCGGACCGATTTCTTAAATTATTTCTATTCGAAAGAGTATACTTCCGAAGTAGTCTCATAGGAACCAATTCAGGGTCTGATAATAAAATTCTGCAAAATCGAGGGAAACCTCCTTATAAATAATAATTATTACTTGGACGATGTAATTTTCACGATAATTTGTTTATATGTAAACCGATTACTTAGGGATTTCTGGTCCAATTTGAGTGATTCTTCTTTTGTTCAATTAGAGATACTTTCCGTTCCGTTCCATAAAAAAATATATAGTTTGATCCAGTAGTTTCTATTTAATGAGCATTTTTGTTTATTATTTACTTGGACGTTGTAATTTTCACTAAAATGGATGTTTTTTTTAACAAACTACGTAAACTAACTACTAAACCGACTTCAAAATTGAAAATGGAACTAAAAAGCAAAAATTAAAATATCTGATTCATGATTTGAAAGTTGGGCGGGTCAAGATTGAAAGACGTATTATTACCGATCAGAAACGAAAATCTATTTAATGTTTCAATCTTGACCCCGCCTGACTTCCAAATCATGAACCAGATATTACTTTTTACTTTTTATTGCCATTTTCGATTTCGAAGTCGGTTTTAGTTTTTGTTTATAATTTAATAATAAATATATTTTTTTACCGTCTAAATATAGAGCTCAGTTTACTAACAATAGATAAGAAAAAATAAAACTAACCATAGATATAGGTATAGATGGATATAACACTGTTAAAAGAAAACATGAAAGGTTGTTTTTTTTACAACTTAAAACAATAATAAATTATTGATAAAATAAATTTTTCTAACAATTTGGAACAACAACAAATAATTTTCTGAGCTACCGGACTATTTATTAAATATAAATCTGTTCAAAAGAACTTAAACCACCATCAGAATATAATTATAAACCCTTCTAGTAGAAATCAGGACATTTTTAGCAAAAAGTACCTATACAGGAACCCCAAATCCCCCATTCTTTGATTTGAGTATAAGTCAATGTGTATTTTTTTTAACAAATTGTTACTTTTTCTATCGTATTTTAACTAAAGTCACATTTATCTACCTATGTAATATATATAATAATATCTTACAACGCGCCCTATGAATCAAGTTGCTGTTTTTAAATTCAACTTCATTTTTTATGTCATACAACTTTCTTTTCTTTTACGCAGTCGACCGCCAATAAATAGATCGAGATTTCAGATTATACTGACTGCTACTACAATGGAATTAAATCTAATAATAATGCAAACGGCTGTCGTTATTTAGGAGACGACTTGAGACGGTACGGTTATTTTTCTGACGATTTCTGGCCTATTATCTTTAGTAAGAAAAACGCTTATTTTGTTTATAGTTTAGGTACTAAGCTAGCAAGAGGTATTATCACTCTATAATAATAGTTAACTCAACTTATTAGTCAAATAGGCTTTTATATACTTGCTTACTAGTATGGCATTCCCAATAATATTAGTTTAAATAAAGAAATAAAGTATAGAAATGTATTTTATTCATATATTATTTCATTTCATAATAAGCACTTACGAGCGTTCACAACAGTGTGAACGTTCACAAGTAACACATAATGCTTAATCCAGAAATCGCTTAACATATCTTGGAATATGCGTATCAAATACCAAAACGTTTGGTTTATAGTTGCAAACACAGAAGTGGTTGCAAAGTTGACTTAACATCCGGGAGGTAATTCTTTAAATACATATAATTCTTATAATAGGGACCCATTAGATATTCTAGAATGGTTCAAATTTTTCTCATTTTTGGAACGAAAGTTCCTTACGGCAGGCTTGGAGGGGATAGGGATTTTGCTGCGCGACCGAACTGAAAAAAATGTGATAGTAAAACCGTAAGAAAAAATGCGTGGAATAAAACCGTTAAATGAGACGTGCGCAGGCGCGACGAAGTTCCTTACGGCAGGCTTGGAGGGGATAGGGATTTTACTGCGCGAACGAACTGAAAAAAATGTGATAGTAAAACCGTAAGAAAAAATGCGTGGAATAAAACCATTAAATGAGACGTGCGCATAGGGGGTGGTAGAGCGACAAGGGTGCATCACTGAAATATTGTGATATTACACCAACACTGAATATGTGTGAAGTTATAGGGGGTGGTAGAGCGACGAGGGTGCATCACTGAAATATTGTGATACTATACCAACACTGAATATGTGTGAAGTTATAGGGGGTGGTAGAGCGACGAGGGTGCATCACTGAAATATTGTGATATTACACCAACACTGAATATGTGTGAAGTTATAGGGGGTGGTAGAGCGACGAGGGTGCATCACTGAAATATTGTGATACTACACCAACACTGAATATGTGTGAAGTTATAGGGGCTGGTAGAGCGACGAGGGTGCATCACTGAAATATTGTGATATTACACCAACACTGAATATGTGTGAAGTTATAGGGGGTGGTAGAGCGACGAGGGTGCATCACTGAAATATTGTTATATTACACCAACACTGAATATGTGTGAAGTTATAGGGGGTGGTAGAGCGACGAGGGTGCATCACTGAAATATTGTGATATTACACCAACACTGAATATGTGTGAAGTTATAGGGGGTGGTAGAGCGACGAGGGTGCATTACTGAAATATTGTGATATTACACCAACACTGAATATGTGTGAAGTTATAGGGGGTGGTAGAGCGACGAGGGTACATCACTGAAATATTGTTATATTACACCAACAGTGAATATGTGTGAAGTTATAGGGGGTGGTAGAGCGACGAGGGTGCATCACTGAAATATTGTGATATTACACCAACACTGAATATGTGTTAAGTTATAGGGGGTGGTAGAGCGACGAGGGTGCATCACTGAAATATTGTGATACTACACCAACACTGAATATGTGTGAAGTTATAGGGGGTGGTAGAGCGACGAGGGTGCATCACTGAAATATTATTGTGATATTACACCAACACTGAATATGTGTGAAGTTATAGGGGGTGGTAGAGCGACGAGGGTGCATCACTGAAATATTGTGATATTACACCAACACTGGATATTTGTGAAGTTATATCAAGCTGTGGACCAGTAACGCCTGTGAGACATGATTATGATTACAAGGTGAGTACTTATCAGGAGGTGGCAGAGCGACGGGGGTGCAGCACTGGAATATTGTAACATTACACGAAATCTGGATATTTGTGACGTTATACCGAGCTGTGGACCAGTAACGCCTATCACCTGCTGTAAACTTAAGCTAGACATTGATAACAAGGTCAGTACTTAACAAGGGGTGACAGAGCGACGGGGGTGCAACCCCAAATTATTGTGGCATTATACCAACACTGGGTTATTGTCGTATATTATACTAAACTGTGCTTAAGTCCAGGGGGTGGCAGAGCGACGGGGCTGCATTACTGGATTATTGTGACATTGTAGTTTATTATAATCTGTGGGCCAATCCTGCCTAGCAAACTTTACGAACACTAGCTGACCGAACTGGAAAAAATGTGAAAATGTGATAGTAAAACCGTAAGAAAAAATCCGTGGAAAAAAGTGCGTGGAATAAAATCGTTAAATGAGACGTGCGCAGGCGCGACGAAGTTCCTTACGGTAGGCTTGGAGGGGATAGGGAATTTGCTGCGCGACCGAACTGAAAAAAATGTGATAGTAAAACCGTAAGAAAAAATCCGTGGAAAAAAGTGCGTGGAATAAAACCGTTAAATGAGAAGTGCGCAGGCGCGACAGTCGCATACACAAGCGAGTTTGCAATTTGTGTCGATTCTACATTAGCCGAAGGAACTTCGTTCCTACCACCGGGTAGGCACACCACATATTTTTTTTTATAATTCATTTTCTATTGGAAAGATTATACCCCGAAGTTGGTTCCATATAAATTTAAAAACAAAAATCTTACCCTAAAGGTGGGAAAAAAGGGGTGAATATTCACTCACAGATTTTGATACCGAGTTATACCTATATTACAAAAATTATAGCCACAAAAAAATATAACAGTAATTAAATAAATAATTAAACCACCGAAAAGTAAAAAATAATAAACCTATTTTATCTTCAGACAAATTAATATTTGGAGTCGGTGCCATGCAGGTCTGATAGATCTGAGTTCCCATTTATTACTTGCAGGTTGGCCTGGAACTGGCACCGAATCCAAAATACTAGTACTTATTTTTTGCCAAATTTTTATGTCACCTATTATTTTAACTGCTCAATTGAGTAAGATAATTAATTTAATTTGTTTAAGTAGTTAATTTTATGGTAGTATATGACTTTAATGACTTTATAAAATAACAGTAACCTATAAAAATACGAAGGTACATATATAAATTATCTATTTAGGTCCAACAAAATATGATGCACATGGTCCAAACGTTCCTGCAGACCTGGTTCAACAGTGTTTATGAAAACTGCGCGTGTGCCGGCTCAGCCAATGGCAGTAACAGTAACCAGAACTGTGTTGTGTTGCTGCTCATTATCTTGCGCAGCGACTCGTCAATCGGCCCCCGCGCTCGCTTACTTAAAACATACACCAACATCCCCAGTATTTACTATCATGAAACGAAAAAGATTCACAAGGATCAAACTTACGGATTTGTAGAAAGGATAGACTTACTGGACAAGATATGTTTGATCACAGTAAAAGTTATAACATGTGTTAAACACCCAGTAAGTTAAAAAGTTCGATGGTGCATTAGCACACAGTACTGACTAAGTACTGTCACCATTAATCCAAATAAAATTTCAGTCGAAAAGCATTCGAATCCGCACCTTCCGCTATCCAAGATTTACAAAATCTAGCCATTATATACTTTGAATAAATATGTTATATTATTATTCTAGAAACGTTTAGATAATATTTATAATAAATATTTTCATCACATTTAAATATGTTGCAGTTAAATGCGTAAATAAAATGTATTTGTAGAGCGCGAGGTATATCTAGCATTTAAAGTTTTCTATAGAAAGCTTAGCTCTTTGTCAATTACTCGCCCCACCTATCGTCTAAACTCTAAGGGATTGGAATCAAACTGCCCACTTCCGCCTTTTTAAGCCCAAATATATTTTTTGGAGGAAGCATACCCCAGCGCTGGGTAAGCGATTACGTGTGGATTAGGTTATATGGGATACTCCTACGTGCTCCCACCCAGTCCTGACTTGGTCGGCGCTTGTCGGCCTAGCCACTGAAACTCTATTGTGAGCTTTCCATGTCGGCAGAGACGCAATGTGTTCCTTATTACAAATCTACCACACAACCAAATTTGTCTTTTTTTCCCAGAGGAATAGATGACACGCAACCTGCTACTGGTTAATATAACAAGTTTATATTATACGTAGAAAAGTTATTCGAAGAGAGGTAGGATATAGCGGATTTTTTGCACGAAACAAAGCGCCCGTCTAGGGAAGTAACTCCCACCTTAGAGAAGATAAATAACTCTACCTTTTGGTGGTATTATGTTTCGTGAATAAGGTTCCAGAACTCCACGAGGTAGGGGATTGAGTATGCAATTTTTTGATATCGCAAATGTCTTTAAGCTAAGGTGGCCGCTTACCATGAGACGGGCCATATGCTTGCTTGCCATCCTTTTAACATAAAAAATATAATATGATACGCTTGCCCGGTCCTGACCTGACCTGGTTGATTAATAATTAAGGAGCTGCCCACTGAAAAAGTGTGTTGTGCCCTCCTTGCCGACAGTGACGGTGTGGGGTCCTTATTCGGATTCTACCACACAATCACATTCGTCTTAATGGCTTGGACTGGATTCTTATACCGATCTTGTGGAGCTTGGGCAACCTTGCTCAAACATATCTCCACATAAGTACGCAAAATTAAAAAAAAAACGGTCATATGCTGATCACATGCGATTGAAGTGAAACCTACAAAAAAACGTGTGGCACTCGGGGACTGCCGCGGTAAAGCTATTGCATAGCATTATTTATCAACTTATGCAATTATAATTATTTATTTATTTTATTTATGCAGTATTTTTTTGCTTCGATATTAATACGAGTTTTTTCTTTGATATGAATAGATGGCGAGGCAGGCCTTATGATATTTACTGGGCAAGCACAGCAAACAATAGCATTGCCCGGCGCCAATTAACTTCCACAAGCTCCACAGTTTACCATCTTTAGTCTAAAAATTTAATATATAAATAAATAAAATAAATAATAAATATTTCCGACACTCACACCAATTAGCCTAGCCCCAAAGTAAGCACTATAAGGCTTGTGTTATGGGATGCTAGGGTAACGGATAGAATACATATACTGTACATATATAAGTATATTTATATAAATACATATTAAACATCCATGACTAGAATACAAATGCACGTATTCATCACACAAACATCTGCCCCCACCGGGATTCGAACCCGGGACCTCTCGAGTCGGCGACAGCCATGAAACCCGGCGTACAAACCACTCGGCCACGGAGGTCGTCGGTCGTCGTCGTAAGGGAATTAATATCCCGGGAATTATTAGTACCTTGCGGTGGTCTAAAGATTGATTTATTAAGACATATAGAGACTTTACCAGCGGGGTCAAGGTTACAGACGGGCCTCAATTTTCCCAAAAATGTGTGAAGTTAAATCAAGTCGTTACATAAATATCTAATTGTATGTAAATTTTATAGTAAACTAGCACTTATTCAAAAAGTCATCTTTTCTTTATGTTGTTTTTAGTAGTTTAGCAATAAATATAAAATTCATTTATTTTTATTCGTCGACTATTTAAAATTGGCAGTGGCAGCATTGTCATGTCAATGTCCGGCTCTATGATTGTGATATACACAAATGCAGTGTCATATCCTAGTCCCATAATTTGATATACCTACATAATTCACAGAAACCCAATATGTAGATGCCAGAAGTTAACTTCAAATGTTGTTAATCATCCTATATACAATACCAATCAATGACGTTTATGTCGCATTTGCAAATAGTGCAATCATGGCAATTACTTTCCAAATATTTTTCTTTATATAATAAAAATACCGAATAACGTACCGCTGTTAAGCACAAATACTAAGTAACTTTTACAAATATAATCAAATAAACCTATCACTTACTTTATTTTTAAATCTTTTACATCAATTAATACTGTTATCCTAACTATCTATACTACTATTATAAAGAGGCAAGTTTTGTATGTTTGTAACAAATAATCTGTCAAACTACTGTACCGGTTTCAAATATTAATTCATCATAAGGTAGCTACATTATTTATTATTACATTTTTCTTTATTTAAATACATTTTGTCCGAGTGACTTAAGCTATAAGTATTTTATCCCGATAAAATAAATTCCGCCCGTACAATGCCCGGGTGGATCACTAGTAAGTATAATATAATATTATAGATGCGAAAGTGAGTTTGTTTGTTGCGCTTCCGTGCCATATTAGCTAAATAGATTATAATGAATTCCCCTATAGAAGTAGATGGGAACTTGGTTCTTAGCTACAACATCGCAATACTTATAGGCGTAGGGTGATGAAAGGGGTGATTTACCTATAAAAATATACATTATTTACTTTGAATTTTGCAGAATTATCGTTTATAATTACAAAACCAATATTATCGCGAGCTGATTAATAAATACTGGGATTCCAATAAGTATGTACCTACTAGCGAAAAATAGGTTATTTGTCATTATATTAAGTAATTAATTAAAAAAAAAACAGTTAAATTCTGAGTTTTTCATTGAAATTCAATAATCATTAATACCTATTAAGTTAATTTATTTTTCATCATTTAATAAGAAGGAACTGTATCACAATTTTATTGTAAGTACTTCATATAGGATCAGATACTGCGAGTAGCCCATTTTTTTCTTTTTCGCCTAGGTTTTATCCACGTTTATAAACACCTACCTATATTAAATTTTATTCCTGCAGTCTACTCCTACATAGTAAACTGCGCTATCACTTTGTCATCGATGTAACTTTTTAAAATATTTGTCGAAATGACATAGTGTAAAAGGCAAAGTTTATCGTCTTTAAACACCTAAAGCTATAAAAGTATTAGCCTTGATAAAAAATAATTTATAATTTTTATTATTTTTAAAGCATGTAACTGCTTGATGTTTAAATCTAAAGAAAATATAACTAGAAAAAATTCCACGCGGACCAGGCAGCAGACGGGACTCGAACCCGCACCCTTCGCAATCCGGGCGAATGCACTGACCAATTATGCTACCGCGGCCCTCACGGACCGCGTCGAAATTTTGGGTTTACCTATAATGCGAACAGATGGCGCTGCCTTGCAGCTTAAGAATAGCTAGAAGGAATTTCGACGCGGTCCGTGAGGGCCGCGGTAGCATAATTGGTCAGTGCATTCGCCCGGATTGCGAAGGGTGCGGGTTCGAGTCCCGTCTGCTGCCTGGTCCGCGTGGAATTTTTTCTAGTTATATTTTCTTTAGATTTAAACATCAAGCAGTTACATGCTTTAAAAATAATAAAAATTATAACTATAATTGCTATTTCTTCTTTCAAATGTTTAATACTTGTAAAAGTATTCATTTGACATTGTGGGTTTACCTATAATGCGAAGAGATGGCGCTGCCTTGCAGCTTAAGAATAGCTAGAAGGAATTTCGACGCGGTCCGTGAGGGCCGCGGTAGCATAATTGGTCAGTGCATTCGCCCGGATTGCGAAGGGTGCGGGTTCGAGTCCCGTCTGCTGCCTGGTCCGCGTGGAATTTTTTCTAGTTATATTTTCTTTAGATTTAAACATCAAGCAGTTACATGCTTTAAAAATAATAAAAATTATAACTATAATTGCTATTTCTTCTTTCAAATGTTTAATACTTGTAAAAGTATTCATTTGACATTGTGGGTTTACCTATAATGCGAAGAGATGGCGCTGCCTTGCAGCTTAAGAATAGCTAGAAGGAATTTCGACGCGGTCCGTGAGGGCCGCGGTAGCATAATTGGTCAGTGCATTCGCCCGGATTGCGAAGGGTGCGGGTTCGAGTCCCGTCTGCTGCCTGGTCCGCGTGGATTTTTTTCTAGTTATATTTTCTTTAAAAAATAATTTGTTATTACAAAATGTACATTTTGGAAATAGATATCAAATAATATTTTAGTTTTGATTCACAATTTTAACGGTTATGGCTTACACATTAAAAATAGATATATGGTGTCACGGACTTTTTTTAGAACTATTTAAGAGATACATTTTCACTCTACATTACATTCATGTAACTTTTATTGTTTTTGCAGTGCAGGATAAAATGGCTCGCAGATGGGAGATTTTTTCCGTCTTATGTGACACTTATTGTTATATTTTGGCCAATTCACTCGATAACTACATAAATTATTACATATATGATATTATCATATATGAGCTATATTACTGTTAAGTTTCATTAAAATCACGAAAGAGTAACAAAGATCCGTACAAACGTAAGATTGAAATTAAAAGCGCAAGTGGTTAATATACAACTTTAAAGCGTTGTAGACCCTAAACAATCATATAAAATGAAAAATGGTGTTAGGAACCTAAACATGATTTTCGATTATCTGGACAGTGATACCTCACTCGACATATTTTTTCCACTTTTTTTTTTTTTGCTTCGTCACAATATGGCGCCTAATTTTGCCCATATTGAATTTTGATTACTATCATATCTTTAGTAGCACTCCCATGATTGAGACGAATCGATTGATGTATGAATCATCAAAATCGGTCCAGGCGTTTGGTCTCTAGTGTGCCACAAAAGAACAAACATACATATATAGACTGTTAAACACTATACCCTGTCTGCGCGTCGCGCTTCGCGCTCTTCCATTGCGCAGTCGGGTAAAAATGTGAACACGTGAAAGTCCTTCAGCCGCCCGCGGCTTTATATGTTACCAGCTATTTTTATTTTATTTCTTTTGTTCTGTTTTTTTTATCTAAGGTTTTTTTCGAAATATTAATTTATTTAACATTGGAAAAGTAAGTAAGCCAATACCGTTACCGTTCGGCTATTTGTCTCTTGCAGAGAGTTACAAAATTAAGATTTACCTTGTGTCAAATACTGTTAAATTTTTATTTCATCGAGTTTCAAATCACAACGGTGCTAAAGAAGTTTTCACTTCAAAAAATGTGAGTAAATTGACATGAATGTAATAAAGGCATGAAGGTCCAATGGGCACCATGTTTTTGATAGGAGGCAGCTATAGCACATAAATGATTATAATTACTGCGTATCATATAGTGTGTCTTTAGCCTTACATACCTATTCTCTACAAAATACTCAGGGTGTTTTTAAAGTCATGTGATAAATTTGAATTTTGTACTGTTCCAGTAAACACTATTTTAAAATTATAAACAGAATCGCTAGATTTTTTGTCTGAATAAAATTACCTGTAATCCTTATAATATTATAAATGCGAATGTATCGATGTTTGTTTGTTTATTGATTGAAACGCTGAAATATCTAAAATGATTGAAATTAATCTTAGTAAATAAGAAGAGAATTAACTGGGCTAATGCTAAAACACCAATAGAATTTGTCCAGAAAAAAATAATTTATGGAGATAAAAATACATAATCTGAAACAGCCAGAGTCGCGAGCGTAACTAGTTTTAACTAGGTATTTTTGAACATTTTCGCTGCTGCCTGTATTATCATCTAATATACGCGCAGGTGGCCCTGGCTATTTTTCATCAGAATATCATAAAACTTAACTAGATACATATTACGTTTTCTATTGCCAACCAACCTGCGAAATATTAAAAGCATTGTTTCTAAGTTTATGTTCAACAACTTACATAATATTCTTACGAAAGCTACTCGTAAGGTATAGCTTGATCTGAGGGATACAGAAACAACGAAGGTGTCACAAACGCGCATTCTCGAATGGAGATCGATCTAGAGACCTCAAAATGGCAAACAACTACATATGAATTGAATTTGAACTGAATTTATCATTGCAGTAAATCGTTTTTTAGTTGATGTTCGCGGCTCAGACCTCAGCCGGGCTTAGTCGCCTAGCTGTTTACACAGCCATCTAAATGCGCACCATACAAAAACAACAAAACCATATTCATTTTGATGATACAAATGAAGTTATGAAGTCCAAAAAAAAACAGCCACCTGTCAAAATGACATTTGGTGTCGCGCCAGGCGCGGGCGGCTACGTTTACAAAGAGATTGCAATCACAGCACCGCTCGACTCTATTGTCCGTTCGTTCGGACGGGAGCGAGGCGTGCGCTATCAGCATCGGCGCTCGTTAGCGGCGCGCGACGTGATTCAGATTAACGAGATAGTAAAGCGGAGCTTGCTTTTGAGCCAAATTATAAATTTTGATCATACTCCGTTCGTAGAACACGATGGTAGGCGAAAATTTCATATGGCTCTGTTGTAAGTATTTAAGTATATTTTAGTGTCACAAACAATACTGGTATCGATTCTGGCATGATTATCTAAACTTACAGACAACACAATGTAGCTTTGTCATTTATATACAGAATGAAAAGGAGAGACTTAAGTTAAATTTAGTGTTAAGTTTAAAGAATCATACCAGAATTGACATCATTGTCATACTAATATGATAATATTCAAGTTAAAGTCAGAGTTCAGGAATTAAAGCTATGGTAATGTAATATTCTGACTGAAGCAAGAAATATTACATTTTGTCATGGATTAGGTAGGTATGCTGCAAAATTTTACATTTAAAGAAACTTTTCACTGAGATAGTTAATTTATTTTATTGTAATTACTTTACTCTTTTTGAACAAATTACATAATTTCGTATAGGAGTAGAACTCTTCACAGATAATTAGCAGAGCGCTGCGAACGGCGAATGTTCGGCGCACATGTTGCGTGCGGCCAATCTGCGCAGCACGTGACGACGTCGCTGTCGCTCGTCTGTCGGCCGCTCAATGCGGCCTTGTGCTGCCACCGTTGTACTACAACATCTGCTAACGCGACGCAAAGAAAACCAGAATAATGGACACATTCAATAATTTCAAATATGCATTAATACAAACTGAAGTTCATGGAGGAGATGGTAAGGGTCGCGACTTAAAAGTTTGCGTACTATTTGGTCTACCATTTTGACTTGCGGAAAACCGTAATCTTTATAAAAATATTACAATGCAACCACTTCAGATAGTTGCAAAATCAGTAGATGCAAACCTAATAAAACCTGGCGGACTATACTTTTTGTTATTACGTTGGTTGCTACACAACGCACTGGTTTAAATTTTACCAGGACACTGTTATTATAACTTAAAATACCTTGTCAAATATTCTCTAATCCAAGATGGATTACAAATAGATTTTTTTAATCATTTAACTGCTAGATGTTCAAATCTAAAGAAAAAATATATAATAAAACAAAATCTTTTTGCTATTAACATTCATTATAATACTCCTGTATCTATTGCTGCTGAATATTCCTCCGTCCAATCAATCACAGAAATAAATCTACTACTACGTATCTCCTTTTCATTCGAATGAGGAAATGCAGCGAGCGATGTAATGAATAAAAATAAAAAGAAATGTTGAACGAAAAAACAACTTTCCATTTTTTTCCTTTTTTCCAAACTTTTTCAATTCTCCATAAAATACCCTCGCCTTCTTCCTTATGTCTCTTACTTAATATTAAAATAACCATCTGTGAAAATAACTGAAACTTTTTCTTAAAAAAAAAGAAAGATGTTACGAAACGAGCTTTGCGAAGTAGAAATTTTAATTTTCTAGAAAATCAAATAGTACGCTGGTAGAGTTGTGGTGGTACTATTCGGAACGTGAAGAGACTCTTCTGATGAAAAAAAAACATTTTAATATACTAAAGAAGCACATTGTTATTATAAGCAATACAAATATTGCAGTATTTATTTCGTGGAGCCAAATTAATACGTAATACCTCCGTTTACCACGGTAAGGTCTCCAGTCTCCACCTTCAAAGATACCTAAGTATTTTTTAACACCGACGAATAGTCTAGCTCGCCAGCGCTACTAATATGCAAACCATACACGCGTTGTCTACGTCCGCCGGATATCGTACGACAATGTGCATATTTTTAGCAACAATAATGATATATGAGTGATTAATATTCGAGACGTACTGTTCTGCAGTAACATAGCATATATTATGCGACAACAAGAAGCTCACTTCTAAGCTTGAAATGTGGTTTGACAAGTTCAAATCAAACTAAATCATCTTGGCAATCGCAGGGTTAATTACCTTCTATACTAATTATTCTGGGTTCCCATCATAGTAAAGACTTTAATTTTAGTGATCAGCGATATTTGTTCCCGAGTCATGGATGATTATTAATTTTATACTATACTTATCTATTTTTAGCTACCTTATACTAAGTTTGGAACTAAAATAATTTTGCATGAGTTGTTTAAATAATTGTTACGAACCTGGAGTTTAAAAAAATACAATCTGTAGTGTATTCGATTTTCTAATGGAACGACATTTGAATTTATGTCAATATCGATGACCATTATCAAGTTATTCTTAGTTGCTGTTTTTATTAAATATTTCCAACAACACTCACACCAATTAGCCTAGCCCCAAAGTAAGCACTGTAAGGCTTGTGTTATAGGGATACTAGAGTAACGGATAGAATACATATACTGATATATATATAAGTATAATTTTTATATAGAATTACATATTCAACATCCATAACTCTTTTCATAAATTTCTTAACATGTATAGCAAAAGGCCGGTTAACGTTCTTAGAATGTCTTTGTAACCTTACCATTTTAATTTTCATGGTACTTATTTCCAATCACAACAATTACAACGGGGAAATGAAATTAGTCAATTTGAAAAACATTATGGAGAAAATATTGTGAATGATTGAAACTAATACTAATAAGCATACAAATCAAAAATATAAATATATTTTTACCGACTGTAATTCACTTATTATGTTTGATATGGGAAACTTAAAAAATAAATTGAAAATGCGATTATACTATTTATATAATTTAAGAATTAATAATATAAACCACGGGAAAACTGATGCTATTTTAGCGTTCGTTCAAGTATCACGTGGTTTTCCCAGATGTGTCGCGGGCCACGCTGATACTTCCCGGCACGGTAGTCAGGTCTGTCTGTCACACACGACGTTTTGAGGTGAGCCAAAAAGATAATTTCATAGACGTCAAAATAATATTTTCATAGTAAAAAAAACGAAGCTGTTCATAATATTTAGGCACGTAGTGTTTGAAGTTAGTTTTCTATAGCTTTCGTATTTCGTTTCGCTTGGTGGATTAAAGTCCCTTGTCTGCGCTAGCTATTAAGCTTAAACACGATATTTTTTTTTTGAATTAAGAACTTTTCTGCAATTACGCCTAAGTATTTTTTTTATTTCCAAAAATATTATAGATTGTCTCTATTTTTCGGATATCGCAAAGAAGTCGCCCAGAGCTTTAATTTAGAACCAAATTACTTAACCATTTCTCATCTTAAACAAAAATCATTATCACCACATCGACATTGATATTTCTGGAACTGTTAACTTTGAAGGCACCGCCGCCATCTGCAATGCAGATTCGTACACCAACAGATTGCCCAAAATCCAAGCCAGATGTACGTGAGAACCATAATCAGGTTTGTTTCATAGAAAAGTTTGGTTTATGGTTCCTTATACCTACTTCTTTAATTGCAGAACACGTGGGCGTTAGCTGTGAATGCCAGCAATTGTCCCCGACAAATGAGTTGTAAAGGAAATCGGTTTACTCCTTAACATCTGCTGAACAGTTTTAATAAGGCAATGCACGTGTAAGTCGTGTGATCTCAAAAGTTTACGACTTATGTACCTATTTTCCAAAAAGGGCTTTAAAACTTTATGGAGCTTTTGTGAGACAGACTGAGAGAGAGTGGTATATTAGCCTGTAATACCATATATACAGCTTTTAACTAGAGTTAGCAATTGATATCGAAATAAGCTTTGATTAAGCTTTTGTTTTATTTTAATGCGTTGGCACTTTGTCAACTGAATTCTCTCATAACAAACATGTAACCACTACGACGACTTAACCTGTTTATTAAAATGTAATATAATTGAATATATGTACCTTACTTTTGGTTGCACCTAAGACGAAATAATAAAATTGAATAAAAAAAATAATTTAGAAACGAATTAGTAAATGAGTTGTTTTTTTCTTTTCATGCAACCATTTTCTTTCATACATAACCTGTTCTGTCTCACCAACTCTGAATATAACGGTACGAGTAAGTAGGTTGGTAGGTATAAAACTTTTTGTTTATATGTTTCTTTTTTGATAGAGCATTGTATCGCAATTTAACAAAAACATGCAAACCAAAAAATTAAACAGAATCTACACAACAATTCGTAAATTATTCACAACTAAAGCAACGGAACAAATGACAATTTGAAAGTAAAATTTTGGATTGTGGTGTTTTTTCCCGCCGGCTCAGATACCTGGATGCGCTCGAGTCTCACACGTGCGCGCAGCTGCGACCGCGCAGATCGCACGTGTGGCTGCGATTACATCCTCGCTGCGTACGCTAGTATGCTACGCCTTCGCTACAATGAGGCATTGTGTAAATCCTCTAAAAATATTTCGATATCAGAACGATGACGTCAGTATCAACCCGCCTAACGAAATACCTATGCAGGTACCTAATAACGGTAAATTAAGTAGAAACAATAGTTACAGCCCCACTAGCATAAGCGACGCGATATGATACATTAGAGCCTTTTATCGACACTCAACTGTCAAATTCCATTGTAGTTTTAAATTCTATGTCGATAAATTTATTTATCATATCGCGTTTTGGTGGTCACGCTAGGCAGCGGTAGCGAGCTACCGCTCCCCACCTACCTACAACTTTGTGTCATTGAAAAATTGGTACACAAAAATATGAATTTTATTTTCGCTACATGAAGTAACCTATGCTTTTTTCCAAGGGCTCTCTCTCTCTCTCTCTAATTGATCTCAATTCTTCAAAATCGATTCAGCAGTTTACCTGAGTAAGAAAATTAAAGTGAAAGAGTTAGTATTCTCGCTCCGACCGCGGACCGTGCGCCACGTCGCACCGCCGCCTCCCTGCCCCGTGCGCCCCGCCGCACAGCTGCCTGCTCCGAGTCGACTCGACGCGCCTGCGCTCATACGTGAGATCCAAGATTGGACCAGTGGATACCTAGCGGTGTTAACGAAACTGGTCGGCGTAGCCCCGGTACGTCTCGAGCTCTCCTGAGCTCGGAAACCGGAAGACCCGATCCCATTTGCACTTGGGCCTTCCCAAGGGTGACGGTTGTTCCCATATTCGCTAGGAATATCGGAACACATCTCTTACAGCTTCAACCGACCCCCTGCCGCGGGCAGGGGAGTCCATCGTGTCGCATAGGGTGTTAGGACCTGTGGCTTCACGCCACAGTCAGGGCACACTACACACATCACACAACAACCTACACAGACCTACACACAAACACATCACAATGGACATTACACAACAGGTACTGTCCCTCTTCTCCGCCCTCGGCCTCACCCTGGATGAGGCCGCCATCAGGGAGCTCGTCGCGAGAGCGCGCCCCATGCGCGACTCGCCCGCCAGCCCCTCCCCCGAACCCCCCCGCCCCGACACCCCCTGCCTCCCCGGGCCCTCGAGCGCGGGCAAGCGCCCCGCCTCGAGCCCGGTCTCGACCTGCGACTCTGACTCGACCATTGTGTCGGCGTCAGACGACTCCGTGTTCACCACTGTGGTGAGCAAGAAGAAGCGGCGCTCCAAGCGCCGCGCAGACACCGCGTCTCCAACGGCGCCCTCTGTCCCTCTCAGCCCTCTCACCCCTCTCACGGTCGCCCAACCGACCGCACAACCCCACACTACACACACCACAAAACCACACACTAGGTGCACCGCCGCACCTATCAAGGCAAAGCCGCCGCCGCCCGTCTTCCTGCGCGATAAGGCGCAATGGGCAAAGGTCGCG